TTCATGAAGAACAGATTTTTAAAATCTGACTCTAAGATGCAACAAAATATAGATTTCAGAAACTGTACAGTTTTAACTAAATAAAACTAACACAATGTTGGCTTTTAACAAAAGTTTATCAAAGAACCCGAGATGTGATTTCAGTAAAACACTATGGTGTTAGACCTCGTTTTAATGAAAATATTCGTGAAGAAAGTTTTCAAGAAAAATAGTTTTTTTATAGTTTTTCGAGCAAAACATCCCGACGGGCACCTATGAGCCCAATATGTTAGGTCTTTAGAATTTTGAAGATTGAATGTGGGTCTAACGCCCGCATTAATTCAAGAGACCCCGCTTAAGTCTAAATACCAATGGTCTAAGAGTTAAAACGCTGTTACTAAGTCTCTAGGCCAAATTGGGCCTTAGTAATAGAACAAGACCAATAAGGTAAATTATGGAGAATAAGTCACTAGATTGGATAATTGATTTCAATCTAGACATAAGTATGTTAAGGGCCATTAAGGAAAATAAGATTTTAAGGATTTAATAAACTTATCCTTATAGTAAATTATCCTTCTAGTAAAGGAAAGGAATACGTACCTTAAGTAAAGGGTTAGATTTCCTTCATAAGTTGCTAAAATAGAATAGCAAACGACAGATAATCTCACACTCTCAATGGGTGTTCATTTTCAGAAGTAAGCATGTAAGAGAATCGGTTGTTTGGCGAAAAGTGGATTCCAACTCTGTAAATCAGGTAAATAGGAATCTCGCCTACAGTATGAATAGATTTTAAAGAAAAAGTTACACATGTTATATATGCATGTTTATGCTTTAAGTATTGTATGCGATGCTATGTCATGCTGCATACACTTAAGCAGTGCACATGAATTATATGTGTTTGAGTACATTTAATGTTATTTATGCTATGCTAGGTCATATTGCATACATTTAAGCATTGCACACTAATTATATGTGTTTGAGTACATTTAATGTTATTTATGCTATGCTAGGTCATATTGCATACATTTAAGCATTGCACACTAATTATATGTGTTTGAGTACATTTCATGTTATAGTATGCTATGCTATGTCATATTGCATACACCTTAATAAGTCAAGAAGAACTTATAAGAATAATCTCAGTTGAGTGCCGTACCAGCCTCTGAAAGGAAGTGACTCAGGCTCCCAAGGGAGAAGAAAAAAAATATAATAATTTCCTCTGAGAGGGAGGCATTCAGTTCAGTTATAATTACGGTGTCATGGAGGACCTTATAAACCCTCACGTCCCGATGTTTGCGCGCAAGTGGTATGAGCACTCGGGCCCATCAGTAAGAAAGATAAGATAAGATAATAAGACTATGATAATACATCATAATTAAGCATAATCAACTTATGCATATTTATTCATGTGTACTTACAGTTATTTTGTGAGAGATAGTTCCTACTTGCTTAGCGAAAACTCAATCAGATATGTTCATGCTGTAGGTAAGAAACCTATCAGCAATTCTTAAAGGGCAATGGCGAGTGGCGGACGAATGGTGGAGATGGGAATGGATACCGCTCGTAAGTATTTCCGTAATCAGTTTTACGTTATAAATAGTTTTGCTAATTATGATTCGAAAACTATATGTTAAATGGTTTTGTGGATTATGGTTGTTAGTGAGCAAACTTACAGAGTAAGTATATATATATATATCCATATGCTTTGATAAATAGATATGTTAAGATTTGAATATTTGATCAAGAAAGCAATTCGTAACATATGTCGTATTAGTAAGTTTTTTTCTAAAAAGAATGCTACAACATTCCTACAACATTTTAAAAAGAATGCTACAGCATTCCTACAGCATTTTAAAAAGAATGCTACAGCATTCCTACAACATTTTAAAAAGAATGCTACAACATTTTTACAGCATTTTAAAAAGAATGCTACAGCATTCCACAGCATTCCTATAGCATTTTAACATGCTGCAGCATTCTAAATAACATTTATAAAAAAAAAAAAATGTTTCGCAAATTTTAAGAAATCCCAGTAAGTACGAGTTAAATTTCAGTTGCGGTGACGACCGCCAAGAAGAGTCGTCACACTTACACGTGGAGTTCAACTAGTAGATAATAGAAATAAGAAAGTGGGAAACTGTCTTTTTGATGTTTTTTTTTTCCTTTTTTAACCTTTCTTATTATTATTTTTAAGTCCTTTGCCTCTATGTTCTTATTTTTTTCTCTTCTTTTTTTTTTCCTTTTTACCTTTTAGCCCTTTCTCTCTATTTTTTTTTTCTTTTTTTTGTTGCTTTTGTCTTAAAATTTATTTATTTCTTTCATCTTAATCCTTTTTTGACCCCTTTTTCTCCCCAAAACTTTATTTCTTTTCCGTTTTGGTTCTTTTTGTCTTTAAAACTTTTTTTTTTATTTTGGTCCTTTTTTTACCCCGTTTTATTTTGCCCAGAAACTTTAACTTTTTTTCGTTTGAGTTCTTTTTTGCTTTAAAACTTGTTTATTTATTCATTTTAGTCATGTTTAACCATTTTTTTTTTTTGACCCCTTTTTCTCCCCAAAACTTTATTTCTTTTCCGTTTTGGTTCTTTTTGTCTTTAAAACTTTTTTTTTTATTTTGGTCCTTTTTTTACCCCGTTTTATTTTGCCCAGAAACTTTAACTTTTTTTCGTTTGAGTTCTTTTTTGCTTTAAAACTTGTTTATTTATTCATTTTAGTCATGTTTAACCATTTTTTTTATTTTTGTCTCCTTTTTTAACCTTTCTTATTATTATTTTTAAGTCCTTTGCCTCTATGTTCTTATTTTTTTCTCTTCTTTTTTTTTTCCTTTTTACCTTTTAGCCCTTTCTCTCTATTTTTTTTTTCTTTTTTTTGTTGCTTTTGTCTTAAAATTTATTTATTTCTTTCATCTTAATCCTTTTTTGACCCCTTTTTCTCCCCAAAACTTTATTTCTTTTCCGTTTTGGTTCTTTTTGTCTTTAAAACTTTTTTTTTTATTTTGGTCCTTTTTTTACCCCGTTTTATTTTGCCCAGAAACTTTAACTTTTTTTCGTTTGAGTTCTTTTTTGCTTTAAAACTTGTTTATTTATTCATTTTAGTCATGTTTAACCATTTTTTTTATTTTTGTCTTGAGATTTAATTTTTTTTGTTCCTTTTACTTTAAAACTTATTTATTTCATTATTTTGGTCCTCTTTTGACATTTTTTTTTTTTTACTTTTGACTTGAAACTTTTTTTCCCCTTTTAGTTCTTTTTACCCTTAAACTTATTTATTTCTTCATTTTAGATTTTTTTGACCCCTTTTTCAATATGAAGCTTTAGTTGTTTATTTTGGTCTTTTTTATCCTAAAACTTATTTATTTAATTCATTTTAATAATTTTTTTGACTTTTTTTGTCTTTAAAATTTTATTTTATTTTTCTCATTTTTGAAATTTATATTCAAATTTTATTATTAACAATAACACTATAATTAAAACTTAACCCTTAGAGAACTTGTCACGCGGAATTGAATTAGTATAACACAAAAATTTGGATGAATATTTGCTCTGAACAAGCACACAAAAATTCAAAAATTCTAAAGTCATGTAATTCAAGCCATAGTAAAATCACTAGACAAAAAAAGGATCCATAAATATGTTTTTCATATTTTTTTGGTATAAAACCATAAAACAGAATACATAAACTTACGGATAAACTAATTTTTCACATTCGACACATATATACAACAACACTAGGCTTAAGTTTTTTTTTTTTTTTTTTTTTTTTTTTTTTTTTTTTTTTCCGCAAGATCTTACAAAATTTAATTATTTTTCTTTCGTAAGTGTTGCTTTGTGGAATTGATCTCTATTAACCAAAAACCATGGTATATAAACAACCAAAAAAACAAAATATGTTTTTCATTTTTTTTTTATCTTTATATAAGAAAGCGTAAAGTTTTTTATTGTTGGCCACTTTCGACCGAAACGGCAACGTTTTGATGTAAATGGCCGCCTTTACTTTTTTTTTTCAGTCTCTTGTTTTATCTCTCTTTTTGTTTTTTTACTTCAAATTTATTTATTTTCTCATTTTAATACTTTTGACTTCTTTTTTTGTCCTAAAGTTTTATTTTATTTTTTATTTTGGTTGTTTTTACTCTAAAGTTTATTTACTTTTTTATTTTGGTCATTTTTATTCTTTTTTATTTTTATCCTAAAATTTTACTTATGTTTTTTGTCCCTTTCTATCTAGATTTTTGTTGTTAATCTCAAAATCCTTTTTTTTATTTTTGTCATAAAATTTTATTTTATTTTTCATTTTAATTCTTTTTGTCCTAAAGTTTATTTATTTTTTCATTTTGGTCAATTTTAACCCTTTGTAATTTTTGCCATAAAATTTTAATTTTTTCGTTTTTGTTCTTTTTACTTTAGAATTTATTTATTTTAGTCTTTTTTAACCTTTTTTTTTATTTTCGTCCTGCAATTTTATTTTCCCCCCTTTTTTGTTCTTTAATTTAATTTTTTCTTTTTTAAATTTTATATTTAAATTTTATATGCACAGATTACTCTGTGTTCAACTAGTAAAACTATACGTTTAGTTGGATGATTCAAACCATGTGATTCGAATCATTTTCAATTTACGTGAATTTTTTGTGAGAGAAAATATTGTAGCGAACCACGAATCATGATTCGAATCAAGGAACGAATCCCTCTACATAAAAAACAACACAAGGCTTAAGTTTTTTTTTTGTTTTTTGTTTTTTTCCCCGCAAGTAAGGTAATGTTTGGTTAATGATTCAAAATCATGATTCATAATTCTAATTTTTAAAATTTAAATTTTTTATGAAAAAAAAATACTATAAAAAATCATAAACTATAATTTAAAACTAAAGACGGATACATAAAACAAATATCTCATAGGTTTTACTTTATAGAATTGTTCTCTCTTAACCAAAAACCTAATATATAAAAAAAAAAAAATCCTCAAACTTATTACTCATTTTGGACTCCAAACCACAGCAACATTAGCTGACGAAAACAAGCCCCTCTCTCTCTCAAACTTATTACTCATTTTGGACTCCAAACCACAGCAACATTAGCTGACGAAAACAAGCCCCTCTCTCTCTCTCTCTCTCTCTCTCTCTCTACTGTTTCTCTCTCTATCCGAATATCTCACAACCCCAAATTTGGCATAATAGGTTTTTTCTCTTTCCTCAGCGAATCGTCACATCTCAGCACCAAAAAAAAAAAAAAAAAAACTCTTCTCTTCCCGAACCCTAGGGTTTTCCCATACCGAAATCGCATTTTCTAATTCGGATTTTCCCTTTTCCCTCTTTTCGCCTCTAGGGTTTTCGATTTGATGTGAATTTCCTCTTCTCGCTTTGGATTTTGGGCTTCCCATTTGGATAAGGTCCTCGCTTTTCGCTCCTCGAGTTCCGATTGATTTTGGTCGATCCGCGAATGGAAGCTCGAGATTCGTCCTCATCGTCATCGGCAGCCGCGAATCGCGAAGGTCCTTCGGCAGCCGAGGACGAAGCCGTCCTCTCCGTCGCCGCTGCGCTCGCCAAGGATGCTGCCTTGCACTTCCAGTCGGGGAAGTTCGCCGAGTGCGTCGATGTCTTGAACCAGCTCCTGCTTAAGAAGCCTGACGATCCCAAGGTGATCCTCTTCGATTCGCTTTTTCTGTTTTCCTTTGTTCTTTTTTGGATTCAAAAATTGCTTTTTGAATGGCGAGTCGCATTGAAACGATTCTCTCTCTCTCTCTCTCTCTCTCTCTCTCGGTGGGTCAATTGCAATGACTGTTCGATCTTTTGAAAAGTTTCGAAAATTTAAGTTTCTAACGCGATAAATGAATGGTGTTTTTGATTTATTTTTGTACTTGAAGTTTGCATATTTCAAGTGTATTTTTGGATTGACGGATAATTCGATGCTATTTAGCGAATGTTTGTAAAAATGAAAAAGGATAATAGTAAAATCTCAGCTTTTGCAAGTTTGTTGTGAGTTATTATCATCTGTTAGATTAAAATATCAATTCTAATCCAGGATTTGTGACAGTTAAAGTGCTTGTAAAAAAAAATAAAGCACAATTAGGTTTCTTGAAAGTATCTGAGTGGTTCACTAAGGAGGTAGGTTTCTTTTATCAATAGAATCAGGGTAACAATAAGCTTTACAAGTTTTGATGTTTGGCATTGAAGTAATATTAGAGTCTTAACGAAGAACAACAAATTTTCAGTTATCAAATGAATTAGCTTCAGCCAAATTGCGGCAACTACCCATTTAAAGGAGTTCGTTGAAAATTTTGATTCATTTGGACACTCTGGCTGATTAGTATTTCACTCTGATTGAATGTCAATCTGTTTTCTCGTTTTGATTTATTGTGTCGTATACATTTCGCTTCATTGTTTTGCAGATATTGATATCTTTCTCTTTCATATTTTCTTAATTTTGAATTTTATTCTTATAATTTCAGGTTCTTCACAACATTGCAATTACGGAATACTTTCGGGATGGTTGTTCAGATCCAAAAAGGTTGCTAGACGTACTTAATAATGTAAAGGTGCTTTACTCCTCTCTCTGCTTGCATTGTCAGTTTCACGGGATCATAGTTCTCTAATGTTGTATTTACTACCGCTCATGGGTGTACAAACTTTGGACACTATGCAACATCTCACCTAGTAATGTTGTTTGACATCAACCTAGGTTGTTCTTGTATTTAGGTGCCATTAAAGAATATTCTCACAAGTTCACACTTTTCTTAGCATGATCAAGGTTGGTCTTGGAGTCCTAGGCTTTCCATTTATCTAATATTCAAATAGTATTTTTTTGTACACATTTCCATTCTAGTTTCTATCTTTCCTTGTCTACATGTATAGGTAGGTCTGCAGAGGTCCGTAGGATGCAATTTATGGAGTTATGTCAATATTTTTATTTTTCTATTACCTATTTGCCTTCAAGTTATCAATTTTTATATGGCCTCTGAACTATTAGGAATTGGGTTTTACGTGCCTCTCTCTTCAAGTTGCTTGGTTGTCGAATTCGCTGTTTCATTTTTGTTTCTTTTTGTTTTTCTCTTAAGATTCAAAACTTCATTAGAAAATCATGAAGTACTAAGAACACCAACAAGGGAGATGGGAAGTCGTCCAACTAAAGCAAAAGGAAAAAAACATTGAAAGAGTCAGATTTCTAACCAAATCTGACAAATTGAAGTTACAAAAATCTTTGTCCTCAGACAACCATATATAGCAAGCAGCCCAAAACTTCACTTGCTGCCAATGTCCTCTTTCTGAAAATCCATTTTTTTTTTTTGGTTATAACTAGATTGCCTAACATAGGCCCATAATAGCGAAGGGGTATATTTTCAGGGAAGGGGTATATTTTCACTATTAATCTCAAGGGGTATATTTTTTTGCTGAATGATATCTACAATTTTTTTTTATTAGGAAAAATATGAGTTTTTTTTTTTCTTTTCCAGAAGAGTTAGCTGTGAATAAGTATATTGTGGTTGTTTTGTCATGTTCAGTATGTTACTATGTCATTATACCAAAATGTTTGGATCAAATATTTCTTTATTCCAATATGGCACTATATAAAAAATTTTTTTGTACTACTTGGAATAACTAATCCATGAGCAGAATCAGCTATGGCAGGTACTAAATTGTTGAAATTATGAAATGTTATTAGGGTTGGAGGCTATTTTGGTACTATATCTATTTGGTTATGAATATGCCAAGTTCCTTCCATGATTCATCTGCTATAATAATTGTCACATGGTGTCACGCCCCCCCTCCTCCTAAACGGGGTGGGTGACGTGGAGCTCGATTAGGGATTAATAAAGCAGATTCCCTACCGGGCCCCACACTTGACTGCATTAAAATATAAATAAATTACATAATCCAGGAGCCTCTGACACACAAGGCTCCACCTCACAGGACATATAGTATCGTACATACATGCTCATGTAATTAATCATTACAACAGATATCAACCACAGTCTAGTAAATCCAATATTAAATAGGTTTACATAATTTCTCAAATTCCTTATATTTGTTCAAGAGGATAAACTCAATCCTCACTTGATCCAACAGTAGCAACTCCAGCTACCCTGCACCGCTCCTCGAGTCTCCTGGGAGGGGTTTAACATTTAAAACATAAAACGTGAGCGAAAGGCCCAGTAGGATATAATTTAAAATATTTAAAATAAATGAGCGCATGAATAAATAATTGAATACATAAATAAAATAAGACATTCAGTCCTGACAGAATAGCCGGAACCTCACATCCTTTTTCTCAAAGGAAATATAACTGAAAATAACCATGTTACAGGCTTCAGCAAGTAATTAGTACAAATTACTTACCTAACCACGTGCCTCGCCTACCCGGATCGAGTTTCGGGTTCTGCCCCTGAGGATGCACTCTCCGCATCCTATCTAGGTTTACAGCAATAGACTCTATTACCAGTTCGTAAGATCTCTTATCTTAAGAAATCATTCATTTAACATTATGAAATCGTTCACATGACCCTACGAACTACTAAAGCCGCGGGTCCCATGACTAGGCAAGCCATGAGGTTCCATGACTGGACAAGTTATGGATTCCATGGACAGGACAAGCCAATGATTTCCATAAACTAACAAGCCATGGTTTTTAAAACATTTTACTTTCGCAAACCAATCCCTTTCTTTAAAACATTTTCAAGGCCAAAATCCTTTTTGAAAACAGGCTCGCAAGGAAAAGGGATAGAAATCCTACCTCGCACAATCAAACCTGGGACTAGCGTTGTCTTTTCCGGCTTCCGTTTCTTCAAGCCCCTTCAGTCTGAATCCTCAGCGATCACTGATACAAGATAACACTTTAGGATCAATTCTCATTCCTAAAGCAATCCAATCTCACTTATGTACCAAGATTTTTAATTAGTGTGCCCTAATCCATTTTCATGTTTCAAATTCCATTCCAAGGGTTTTAATATCAAATCAGGAATTAAAGATGTTAATCCTTTCATCCCAAGTCCCCAAATGAAGCTAATTTGGGTTCTTCCCGAAAACAGAGGTCAAAACAACACTTTTCAGGCTAAACATGGTCAAACCCGTGTCCACCGGTCAACCGGTGACAGAACAGTACAACACTACCGGTCGACCGGTAATGTGCACACCGGTCGACCGGACCGGTCGACCGGTCAGCCTGCAATCCGGTCGACCGCACAGGTCGACCGGTGGAATCGACTGCGCGAGAGAAGCTCACGAAAATCAGTCCAAAAACATGCAAATCTAGTCCCAAATCCAAATATTTCAAAGGAAAACCACTAGATCCGGGTTCTAGGTCCTAAAATAAGTCCAAAGAACCCAAGATCTCCAATTTCTACTCTAGTTTTACTCAAAATCATCAAAAATCCGGTTTGAACCAAAAATGAGTTTTAAAATCCGAAGACGTAAAATTCAAGAGAGATTCTTTCAGTAATCTTATCTCGAATCATTCTTTTGACGTTGAAAACTCTTTGAAATCACTCTTGGTTCGAATCCGGTTTTGATTTGAGACACAAATGGGAGAGAGAGAGCGCGGAAGAGAGAGAGAGAGAGAGAGAGAGAGAGAGAGAGAGAGAGAGAGAGAGAGAGAGAGAGAGAGAGAGAGAGAGAGAGAGAGAGAGTGAATGCACGGGAAGGAAGAGAAAAGGAAAAGAAAAAGAAGGAAAAGAAAGAAAAGACACATGGCAAAATATTTAAAGTGACAGTCCAGAAATGCGCCCATACACACTTCTGGTTTAAAAATAAAATTACTCAGAATATTTAAATACTTTAGAATATTTAAATTTATACATGTCAGAAACATTTATTTATTAATAATCAATTAATAAATTCAGATGAGGCACACTAATAATCTCAATTACCTTAATTAATCTCAATTAATTCTTCAGGGTATTACAGCTCCACCCTCCTTAGGCAATTTCGTCCCCGAAATTAAAGCCTACCTCAGAGTGTAAATAGATGCGGATACTGCTCCTGCATCGTCGTTTCAAGCTCTTATGTCGCTTCCTCAACTCCATGGTGCTGCCATAACACTTTTACTAATGGGATCTCACGATAACGCAGATTCTTTATTTTTCGGTCAAGAATCTGAATTGGTGCCTCCTCGTATGACGCGTCATACTGTATCGGAACGTCAAACCACTACACTACTGCTTCCGGCTCAGGTTGACATTTCCGAAGCATGGAGACATTAAACACATCATGCACGTGAGATAACTCAGGCGGTAAGGCCAACCGGTACGCCACCACTTCGACTCGTTGCACGATCGGGAATGGTCCCACATACCTTGGTGCGAGTTTTCCTTTCACACCGAACCGAACAACTCCCTTACGTGGGGAAACTTTCAACAAGACAAAGTCGCCCTCTTGGAATTCCAAAGGCCTACGCGTCCTGTCAGCATAACTTTTCTAACGACTTTGAGCTGTCAACAGTCGGTCCCGAATCACAGCTATCTTCTCATTATTCTCTTGAATGATTTCCGGCCCAGTGCTCAGTCGATCCTCTGGTTCCAACCAACACACAGGTGACCTACAAGGACGACCATACAGAGCTTCAAACGGTGTCATTCCAATACTGGCCCGATAGTTGTTGTTATAAGCAAACTCAGCTAGATGCAGGTATTTCTTCCAGTTTCCACCAAATTCCAGAATACAAGCACGAAGCATATCCTCCA